ATATCCCTCCGATTTATTATTCCATGAGTGCAAACTACTGACTTTAAACCAACTATATATGCTAGCGGCAATTCGTTTTATGCTAAAAACAAATTATTATAAACAGGAGATTACCCATCAACTCAATACTAGAAATGCAATTCGTCAGAATGTGATTATACCATCTGTGACCACTTCAGCCATACAGAGACACCTTTACTTTACTGGTCCAAAACTTTATAATATTTTACCTCCTTGCTTGAGAACAAGGAAGTACTGTCAGGTTAGGCATAGGATTAGGAAATGGATAGTGGATAGTGGAGTAACTATTGATGGTTTTAATTAGATTTAACTTTAATCTATTTTTATTTAATTTTGTTGAATTTTGTTAAATTTTATCAAATCTGTTAAATTAATTCCATGTTATTAGATAATTATTAACCTTACCAGTGATATTATTATATATATTTAAGTTACGGCAATAAGTATTAACATCTGCACACACAGATTTTATAATCCATTGTGCAGTTCCAAGTCATTTGTACCTAATTATTGTACCTGAGTATTGAATAAAATTATTATTATTATTATTATTAATTCAATAAAACATAAGTATCTCAAAAATGAGAGATAAGGACGCACAGCAATATAATTACCTTTCTTGTGACTCCTATGTTTTTCTAATTTGGGCCACATTGTCTAGCATTTTCTCCTCGATTTTCTCAATACATAGTCTTCTTTTCTAATAATCAGTTCTTTAGCCGCGGCTCAATTCAACGCATAGATAATTCGAAGACCTACATACATAATTATATTCGGATTGTGCACATATAATCTTTTCGACCGCTTATTCGAAATCAAAACGCGGTTAGGTACCTCTCGATCAATAAGTAATTTCAATCCTGCGGTTTGCTATATGATACTTAGATATGTAAGTACCTATTTATGCGTACCTATCGGTATTCATTTTGCGGTTCAAGTTCAACTGCCAATCGAATGCATTTTCTAAATTTGAGGTTCGACATTTACTTGTTTTTCCATGTTGTATGCAAATAAATAGTTCATCTCTCGGTTCATTTATCATCCCTTGGTAATATTTTAGATCTCATTATTTTGTATTGCATTTATCAGTCATGGAGCCAATTTTGATAAACAAAAAAATCTACAAACTGGTAGCTTGCAAAGTGGTATAATTTTTTGTTCCCATGGCTCTATTGAATTGATGAGCTAGAACAAATTTTTAAGATAGGTAGGTTCGTTAAGACCAGTTTTTTTAGGCTAATAATAGAAAATTACTTCATATAAAGCGTTTGAAAGGAAATGATAGTTGAATTATTATTTTAAAGATGTGTTTGGGCGGGTCATAATTATGATGATTATCTGACTTAGGCCCAGTTTATTCATCTTCCAATAAACTTGCTGGTAACTATAAATTTACCGTTCTATAATATTTCGAATCGATTGGTTGGCGGATAACTGGCCGATCGATGAGATTACAGATTGCGTTTTTATCCGTCAGATTGCATACCTGCCAGTTTATCAGAAGGTGAATAAACCGGCCCCTTAGTATTTTGTTTAACTCGATAATTTTATTTATTCAACTAGGTATGTATGTATTTGCAAAAGTTCAGAATACAAATTAGTTGAAAAAAATAAAGTAGGTAAATAAATATACTTCCACAAAATTACTGCCTTTCCCTCCACCAGGTGCATGTCGTTTTCCTATAAAACATAATCTAGGCTCTAGATAGTTCAGAGAGGTTGAAATTTGACTACCTATTCGGTTTTTATGTTTTTGTTGACTTTTATAGTTTGGTTAAGGAAAAGTACCCAACCGGTAGCTAATACCTAATATATTTTTTAAAGAAATTTTCAATGAAAATTATGCAGAATGTCGAGAAATCGGTAGGTATTTACTTATTTTAAAAAACGGATAGAACGGATGTTCTCACAAAAGCGAATACTCCCGAATGAATATATAAAGCTATAAATCATACGGGGTGCGATATAGCCAAATTTGACCCCGAAATACGAAGTAAGGGCTTCAGATGATAGAGATAGCACTCAAATCCGTTTTCCGTTCTTGCCGTAGTTTTTGATCAACCCCCGTATACCTGATGTAGGTATGCCAGAATGTACGAGGATTGGCCTTGGTAGAATAGTCTTAGCCTGAATTCACATGGATAGTACCTCTGTCTCTATCACTCTGCTACAGCGTTCTCACTCGAACGGATGCGTATTATGGTGAAAAGTTGAAATTAACCAACTTACATCCGTTTCGATAGTTTAATACTTATAACTAAGTAGGTACTAAACAACTGTAATGCTCACTGAAGATACTTTATACTATACACCGTCAAATTAACTACATCATGTACTTCTTGTTTTTGTTTGGGTCCATATAAATAAATAGATTTCACTTTTCTCTGCATGTTCTGCTTTTACTCTCTCACCTCTATCTTTTTTTGGGATCTTGATACATGCAAGTCTTTGTACTTTTCACACTTCCTCCTTCCCATCATTTGCTTTTATGGTGGTTATTTCTAGATACGTACAATGTACAAGTACACCTGTTTTACCTATTTTTAACTATCAGCATTTCCAAATGCTCAGCTCTATTAGATAATGCATATTCCACTCACTATACAAAAAACAATGGAACATCACTCCGATAGCCCATAGTCCTATTCACCCTAATTAACAAATAATGTTTCCTCAAATTGAAATAGAACCCAGAAGCTATGAATTGAAATCCCATTAGGGCTCTCGATAGCCGCACCTTCGATTTATCAATGCACTTAACTCAACGATCACAATTAAAAAAAAAAACAATCTAGTAAAAAACGCCACGTTTCTCCTGAGTACCGTAATGGCAAGTGGCCATCAGTAGGAAAGGAAAGGGCCCATTATAGACCACCGAAATTGGTCCATATACGTAAAGGGCTTACTTTATTCTGAAAATTAATTCTCTCAGGAAACCGATATTCCCCACAATAACTACGGCAATAATTGAAGCATATATTATACATATTCAATAAAAGTATGTGAAGCTTTGTTGGAGAAAAATTGATTATTTTAACACATTATAATATGTTTTCTGTGTCACTGGTTGGTTTGAAAATTATCTAATTGGTTGTTAATAAACGATTCAGTCAGACACTCTCTGCAACTTAATATTGCGGTAGAAAAATGACTGATCAGGAAAAATGACCGATCATCACGGTATCAACTTTATATTTCCTGGGTGTTTTTTTTTTTATAATAGAAACCATAGCGCTGCTGGAAGAAATAATTATTATGCTCTAAATAAAAATAACGCACGCTTCAAATCCTTACTTAGCCGTATTTAATAAAGCCTGAACACATCTAAGGTCTCGTGTACACTGGCAAATTCCTTTATATCCCTAACAGAACAGATTTTATAATAAAGCCCGATTGCCAGTTCAAGCGGATAACACGATCGTTCAACTAATAATAAAAAAGTGACCCAATCCTTAAAAGAAATAAACGTTCTAAAATCTATGTCGACTTCCTCCTTAATAGAATAGCGGCTGTTAAAGCGATTACTGAAAAGGAAAAAATGGGAACTTTTTAATTGATGGAGTGGATTTATTCTCTAATAACGGTTCTTATTCTTTGGTACTTAAGAGTGTATGGATTTGGGATATATGATGAAGAAAAAGACTTCAGGGATTTAACTCGTTGTTTTAGAGGCGTCAATAATTACGGAACACTGAAATGATTTTCACATATCTGCTCAACACGAATATCATTGGTCTCAACAGACCGAAACATTTTTGGAAGGATTCTCTTCCTTTGACCGAAGCAACTCTACCTGAAACACTGTGTGGCTTTAGACCAATTCGAGTAACATCATCGTCAATGCAAGAAGCATCCATATCCCATAATAGTAAAACAAACCCCTGTCTGTGGTATTTATAGATCCTGTCAAAGCGTTTGATTTTGTTAATTGATTAGCTCTCTATAAAAAATACTAGCATTGCACGGCTGTCCGCCTGCACTTACTTTGGTTACCGCATGAGAACATGGACGCTACTGTCCTTATTAACAACGGACTTTAGGATCACAACCAGAGTGAAGTGAGAATGTATATTGCGCCAATGGACCACCTTCAGAAAATATGGAATACTTCCTATTCGATATACCTCGGTAGACATCTTTCAACAGATATTGACGCGCAATATTTGGACGTTTATTGAATAAAGCATTTGATAACTACGATATAAGTGCCCAAGCTAAGCTCTCGGACTACAATGCCATCGTCATACCAACACTTCTTTACGGATGTGAACCTCTCTCCTGGGGTAAAAGTACCATAAATGCTACTTAAAATTTGAAAGGGTTTAGAGCCAAATGGAAATAAATTTATATAGAAACGCTTTTTTGACTAGAGTTGAATGATCACAAACAATATATTTGAAATAATCACTTGGATCACATTTCATTAATGTGATGGCAAAGGGGTAAAAAAGCTCCAAAAAGAAATTTCAAGCTCTAATTTTTTTGTCGAGAATTCCCAAGCAGTACATTGATACACCCTGTTTCTTGTAGATACATAGTCAGTCGGGTAGGTTTGTGCTCACAAAACAAACGAGGAAAATAGCAATATGATAACGACAACTTTTCAATACTAGGTAGTTCGTCATGAACGATCAACAGGCTGACTGTAACCCTGTAAAAACGATGTGTCAACTTTTTTCAGATGACAGGGTAATTGATTTCTATAAAAACGGCCAATAAGACTAGCGCGGAGAAACATACCCTGTCATTCAATGGTCCTAAAATACTATAAACTGCACATTCACTCTCTTGCTCATTTACATCCCACAACATAATAGGTAGATTTCGTAATCCATAATTTCAAAATCGTGGTGCATGGTACTGCAGTTCGAAACTAAGTTTAGTATTTTTCAGATTTGTGAATTGAGTTTTCAAATATTTTATTTTTATTTTTAGGGACCAGATGAGGTGAAACTGTGGCGTTGGTTGCCACGACTACAATGCGGTCGTCGCTGGTAACGTGTTATGTGATGGTGGCAGCAATTGCTAACGTAATCGCTGCCGCCTCGCCTACGGATATAATTCGAACATTCACCGATAAAGATGTGCAGGCATTCAACCACCTGGTCGTTGACAAAAATACAGGAAGAGTTTACATCGGAGCTGTCAACAGATTGTACCAACTATCGCCTGACCTGGAGCTTGTGGTGTCTGAACAAACTGGACCAAAGATGGACTCCGATGATTGTTCCGTGCTGGAGTGCAATAACGCGAAAAACAAAAAACTCACGGATAATGTCAATAAAGCCCTCGTTATCGATTATACTACAACAAGGTTGATTGCTTGTGGTAGTTTATTCCAAGGTATCTGCACTGTAAGAAATTTGCACAATATCTCCGATGGTGCAATAGAAATTAGGGAAGCTGTGGTGCCAAATAATGCGACCGCATCCACCGTGGCTTTTATTGCACCCGGTCCTCCTAATCCCCCAGTGTCACAAGTGATGTATGTCGGTGTGACATTTACTCTGGGTTCGTACCGTTCAGAGGTACCAGCAGTGAGTTCTAGATCATTAGATAAAGACAAAATGTTCGCAATCGCTCAAACCGCGGTGACTACAGGGACCAGAATGTTTGTCAATTCTTTAGCTAGGGAACGATATCCTATAACTTACGTTTACGGCTTTGCCTCGGATGGTTTTAGTTACTTTCTCACCACTCAAATGAAACATACTTCTTCTAGTCAATTCATTAGCAAACTTGTACGCGTATGCCACGATGACGAGAATTACTACTCGTATACCGAAATTCCCATAGACTGTACCAGCGATGTAAGGAAATACAACTTAGTCCAATCAGCTTATGTAGGAAAAGCCGGCTCGGATCTAGCTTCTGATCTTGGTATTACTGCACAGGACGATGTACTTTTTGCAGTTTTTAGTGAAAGTGATCCAGTTGTCCAGAACAAACCATCTGATTTATCTGCTCTGTGCGTATACTCTCTTAAGGCGATTAGAAGAAAATTCATGCAGAACATTAAGACCTGCTTCAGTGGTAAAGGACAAAGAGGCTTGGACTTCATTTCTCCAAGTCATCCATGTGTTCCAACGGTGAGTACTTTAGTTTCTTTTGTAGTTTATAGTTAATTTGATTTTCAAATTAAATTGAAAAATAATAACAAGGTGGATTCTTCGTTCGCCAACGACCAGTTTCCTGACTATTTTCATCCAATGAAATTCGCTCTGACTGGTTTGTGATTTCTATGAAAACAGACCTAATATATTTATGCTACATTGCAAACAGATTCAAAATTTCAAACATAGGAAGATTAAGTAGAAGATTTAACAATAAACGCCGAATTTCTATATTAAATTGAAAATCGAGTTGAAAATAATCAGGAATATGTGCACCAATGACAGTTACAAGTTTCTATTTGATTTGAAATAGTTCACGCTCAACGGGGTTTAAGTTGAAATTATATCTCAAGAAATAATAATACATTTCTCTTACTACTTTGTATATTTTAATACCTAAAATTATTATTTATTGCTATCCGATCTCATTTTTGATTTCCAATGAAAAAATTATTGGGACCCCATATTAAATTATTAAAATAGTAGCTTCTCGATTAAATTAATTAACTTAATAAACTATTTAGTCATTCAGGCAAGCAAATATCGACATTCCTGACAATGTCGGTAAATTTCGACAGGTTTAGACAAGTTGTAGGTTCCCAGGTAAAATATATTAATAAAGGCAACCACAAATGGTTTGATTCCTATGCTAATATCTCTTGTTTTTTTTTTTCAAAACTATATTACGACCATGAAAGTTCTATTTTAAAGGTGAATATTAACACACTGCACAGAGATTCAGGATTCAGACAATAATAATAAATAAGAGAAGAGAAAGTGAACGTTATTAGGTAGTTAGACGACTTGAACTACCTATATTAAATTGAATCACGATTACCATTGGCCGGAGCATTTGCCATTCTAGTTTTATTTCTAATAATAATAATATATTAGAAAATGACTAAGTATGGATAGCGGTAAATTTGTCCGCACATCAACTCGCACATGTTGTTACTTCGAATGGTACATACATAGTACATATACTTAGGTACGCTTCTAAAAGAGGTGGTTTTTACCAAGTAATGAAAGAAAATGTAAAATTCTTGATCATTTCAAGGCCGGTCAGTTTGCTATGATCAGAAAATTATTCGAATGAATTGCCTCTGGCTTTTGTATCATGGTTTAGCACACAGAAATAATAAATGTGTGTTTCTTTTGAACAATGAAAATTTGATATAGAAAATATAAAAATCCATTGTCCATTAATTTTTTATTATTGATTTTAGATTACCTGTTGTACTCCCTCGTTATCATTATGACCATAAGTTGAAATAATAACTCATTACTCACTCATGTCCGAGGTAAAATAAAATATTCAGTAATCGTTAAATAATTCACTAAACGGAAATAATCGGATATTCGAAACGTGGCCAGTCCATTCAACAGGACATGTGAACTTTAATCATGGATATCAAAAAATGCATTAGTTTGTAGAGGGATATTCGAATAATGATTTATTTTTATGGACCACAAACACAAAACAAACTGAGTACTCCCAATAAATAATATAAATGGAATATGAAATGTTTGATTAATGACTGGTTTATACTTCCAAAATTAAGAATTTAACTAAACTAAGAAAAAAATTGAAAATTAAATTAAACTTTAGAAATGCAGTTTATACCAAAAATTAAGAAATAAGGATTTTCTGAAATTAGCTAGCTCTCAAATCACAGCAAGAAACAAAGAAATAAACAAAAACCAGTTAGAGTGACAACAATCATATTGACATTTTTAGCAGATCCTATGGATCGTGGCTTCCGAATTTAGCAAACTAAACCGATCTCCTTAATTCTTAATTCTTAGTTGAAAGTTAGCCAACTTTTAATTTAATTTAATTTAGTTTAATTTTTTAATTTGAGGTATGAACGACAACATTAAATTATGGAGATTTTACATTTAAATTTTCAGTTTAGTTTAATTCTCCATTTAGTTCAATTCTTACTTAATTCCGAGCTTAATTCAGAAGTATAAATCAGGCATTAAACATTTCAATTTCCATAAAATTATAAATTAGTCATAAAATTATTGTATTATCAAACGCTAAGAATGTTCAATAATGCTATATAGCAAGAATAGCAATTCCTGTTTTTTTTTTGTTTTTGATTTTGAATTGTTCATTTTAAATTTTTATCAATCTGAATTTTTTATTAAAAACAACATTGGTCAAGATCAGTCCACATCTCAGATGTTGATGTGTAATTTAGTAGAACAACAAATTGTTCGAAGCTCCCGCTTACTATTGGATGGCCTGCCATCCCATTTTTAGTTTGTGGTTCGGCTATATGGCTTAAGTTATTGCAGTATCTTTAATACAGGAGTTTTTGTTACGTTTGTAGTTAACTATCGTGTCAATTCTGTGCACATCTGTAAGCAAATCTATAACTTTCTATGAGCCTATAGACACTGTAGAACGCATCGATTGCCAAACACCTGATCGGAAATATTTATTCACGTTTCTTTAAGATCTTCTGTAAGCTACAGTAAGTAAGTACACAATTGCAAATTGTCTATAGGCAGCTAAAGGCCTAGAGAAAGTTATAGATTTGGTTATAGATATGCACAGAATTGACCCATATGTCTTGGAAAGGAAAGCAAAACTCAAAGTCAAAGTCTCTGATATAAAAGTTGGTGGTTACACATGTTTCGTCTTACTAAGGCATCATCAGACCTAAACGCGTCAAAACTAAGAGGCACAACGTGCACAAGCAGAGTGTAAGTTTCTTAGTGTTTGTTTCCATCTTTAATGTGATGTGATGTTTATTTTACACTCTACTTGTGCACATTGTACTTTTTAGTTTTGACGTTTTGACGCGTTCAGGTCTGATGATACCTTTGTAAGGCGAAACACGTGTAACCACCAACTTATTATTTCTGAGACTTTGACGTTGAGTTTTGCTTTCCTTTCTATTACATCCAAGTCGATGAGAGAACCCCAGGACTATTTCTTCGAACTATGTCTTGGATAAATAAGATAGCTTGTGGTTATAAGAAGCTAAGAAGCTTTTATTATGATTTTGTATATTGCCAGTCAAAATCACCAAATGGGACACAATAAATTAATTTTCAACAATAAATTCCTAAATAAATAAAAGTAAACTCTCCAAAACTATAATGAAGTCATTTCAGGCACACCAAAAATCCCTTTTTTTTTTAATGAGGTTAAAATCAGTTAGTTCAGTTTTGGTTTAAGCCATAAGAATATTTATCAGGTCATCTTGATCTCTATTAAGCCTGGCATGGGTGATGCCTATTCAGCGGAAAATAAGTACCTAGCTGAGGCACATTTACAATAGTTAAGCGAAACCCTTGCAAGCGGGCCTTAACGCGTTTTAGGTGGAGCTTAGCGAATAAGTGTCGCTCAACTATTTATTTTTCACACGGCACTCTTCATTTCAAGTGGAAGGATTAGTAAGCCACCAGAGGCTCCAATCAAAAATAAACAAATCAACTTTTGTTGGCCTGGACTTTACAATACTAACATATTATAACATAGAAATTACTATGAAAGCTGAAAATATTCCTAGTTAGTTACTATCTTTTACCTAACAACTCACAGAAACTTTGGATAAGTGGAACAGCAAACGAAATGATCATGTAAGAGTGCGGTGAACCTTGAGGCTTGAATTTAGGTTCCACTTATCTGCGAATAAGCTTCCAGGACTTTCGCTCTAGTGATCTTTTCCTGACATCCCTACCAATTTCTCCTGTAGTTCTGCCCAACAGATGAGCGAAATTCTCCTTTATATTTGATCCGCCCTATATTAATTGAAATGAAATACTGTTTCCATCAGCAATTGAAAAATGATGATGTTACATAAAAGCCTGATAAACCGAGTGATAATCCCGAGGATAATCCTAGACATACCATTTTTTTACTTCCCTCCATAGTAAGGGAAGTATTGTATTCACGTAAAAAATCGACCTCGAGATTTTTTCATATTTATACTGATCTAGACTGATAAAAAGGACATCTCAACTGAACGTAAATAGAAATCGAAACAAGGTCGCCATGTCCTTGTATATGTCCAAAGCAATATTGTCTTGAACAGAGTCAGTGATAATCTTGCTATTCAGTTAAACAGGTTTAAGAGAATGCTCTTAATCTAAAACTATTGAATTTGACGAATGCGATTAATGACTGCCTTACTTCAAGGATCCTTCTTTGATTCAAAATCAGGTATTTGCTTGGATCAAAAATCAATATTCTTGATTTAAGGAATGCAGATTTTTATGGACCAACTGGTAAAGGTCCTGGTTGTTACCAAGCAGGTAGGTAAATTCTATACCTAGAGAATATAATTCACCTGCCAATAAAACATAGATTAATGATAATATATATTATTATCCCATACCATAACCGAGGGCTAAATGGCGGATTTCCAGTTTTCCGACTTAATTGACACAACCCACAACCCGGACCTGACAAGTGACAACGAAACAGGAAACACAACACGTGGAGAAATGAAATATGTACTAAAATGTAGAGGGTACCGGCGTACGGTCAAAGTGGCGGCTAGGAGCAGCGTCGCGCGAAGTATCTAGCTTCAAGACTACATTATTTCAAAAAGAGAAAACTTCCTTCATTTAAAGAAATTTTAATTCAAGATAATATGTATATTGCTTCTCTCTAAGGGTTCATTTTTATTAGTAATAGATTATAAAAATCGTGTTTTTTCAATTCTGTCCGTCAGTCTGTCTATCTATCTGTTTGTCTGTCTGTCTGTCTGTCTGTCTGTAGGTGTGTTGGCGCTGTAGCTCAATAACGGCTTAACCTTGAAGAACAATTTTTGATATACACGTTGTACACATACCGACAACGCAAATTTGAGGGTTTTCTTTCGCAGATATACTAGGGTGTCCCAAAAATTAAGCGTCACTAACAAGACCGGTATATGATACGGAGTTGGTTATATTAGCAAAAAGCTACCGTTTTTCTGCAGATACGTTTTTGTTCCTTTTCAAGATACGAGGCC